GCCATGGTGTACATTTTAGGACATGCTTAATGTTAGGTTTCAGAGATCAGATAAAACATCTTCAGGTCTCAGGAAAAACAGATGTCAAATTATGTCTCAGCTCTCGTATCAGGAGAGAAAAGGCTGTTTCAATCGGCCTCAGGATAATTAGTTTCAGTGAAGAAGGCATCAGGCCTTCTCAGACTGTAAAGTTCATGTGACATTAACAGTTTTGTTCTCAATTACTAGATAAATTACAGCTTCATAGCAGAATTTTGTGCTTTTATTATGTTCTTTTTCCACAGAGATTAAGCTTCATCTCACATGATGTCAATGTGTTTGCTCCCACATGTACTCCAGATACCTTCTCAAAATTACCAAATGTTGCTATTATTATTGTTATTATATTGTTAGTATATTATTGATGATTATTATCATCATCATCATTATTACCACCCAACCCCCCAACACTAACGGTGCTCATGTTACAGCATGCTTTTACTGCCGGCAATTAGGGTTCACCCTAACTCAAACTGGTCCCTTATCAGAGGCTTTGAGCAGCTTGCTAAAATCATCAAGTCACAGTGGCACTACATATATAAGAGGAAAGCAACAGCTGTTTCTCGTAAGATCAGTTCTTGTAGGGTCGCCAACTGTCTTCCGGGCTATGAGGGAAATTGAAACAATTTATAATCTCACAAGAATTACTGGTGTTCAATGGCCCGTGTCTTCACATTAGCCACACATGAATTGTGTTTAGCTTACATCGTCTTTTGGTGATGCACTGAAATAGAGACATAATGGCCCTATGTGTTTACGAAGGGATTGTTTTTGTCTAAGCTGCTAATATAACATCTAGACAGCTTCCTCTTACATCTCATTTATCAGGGTTATTTCTTCATTGCACTCTTAAGTAATTGGCACATCTACTCTAACTTAGTTTATAAAGTCCATTCAATCATTTTCATCTTCTCAAAGCAATATGGGAACTGTGTTACCCAGGAAACTACAACAACCAAAAAAAAAAAAGGGAAGTGATTTTAACAGTGTAAATGAATTCATAATTTAGCCAAGAGGTCTGAAATTGAACTTGCTGATCTAAATTGGACCATCATTGAAATAGTAATCTACAGTGTCCAAGGGCAGATAAAACCATATGGCTCATCTGCTGTGAACACTCTATTCAGTATTGCTGTTCTACAGGATCATATTCAGTATCTATCAAGCAAATATTAAGATGTGAGCTTGACAGATCATTTGTAGCACTTCAGGGCTCAATATGCTGTCTCCTTCACATTAAAGCTATGTTTTCTCCCACACCAGACAATGAAGTATCTGACAACCCTTCATATGGTATCATAGGGCTTCCCCAAAGTCCATTGTCCTACAGTGATGCTGAGAAAGCTAATAGTATGCATACAAAAAATCAACCAATGTGGAAATTCAGATACAGACAAATGTGCTATTATTACTCAGTATGGAATAGAAATGAGGTTACTGGTCACAGTGGTTTTGCAGTGGCTTTACATTGTGAAACTTTCATGTAACTTTAGTTTAGCCAAAAACACAACTAGTTGCATGTAACTTAATCATGTAAAGTCAGCCATGGAAGCTGGGAGTTATTACTGTCATTTTGCGTTACACATCAAAGGTAATAACATAATTATTACACAGTTATGCAATGAATAACTAATTTGAATTCTGTGTGAGCAGGTTCAAGTTTGCATTTTGGACTTTCTTCTGTTTGTTTTGGGATTTTTTTTTCTTTCCATTAATATTAAAATCAAATTTGATTTTCTTGGTCCAGACCAAAAGCAGAAAATGATACATCAGTGCATTTTCTGGTTAGCATTCACACTAACATATTTAACATTGAACCAAAAGATGTAAACAAAAGTCATAAACAGTCACAACTGATTAGGCAGATTTTATGACATACAATAACTGTGATAATGCCCACAGAAATTTCTGAACCTTGCTGTTCTCTGTGCTATCTAGGCTTGCTGGTTTTATTTATGTCTTATTTTATCTGTCTTGCGATATTAGAGCTATAAGTCACAAGACTCTCTGAATTCCTGTGGTTTTGCACAATGCAAAGCAGGTTGAAATCCCTGTAACACACAGCCTCAAGGGGCTCACAGCTCTTACAAAAGAAACCTTGGCACTTCAATACATATATAATTTATGTGCACAGTCAAATGTGTATATTGTGTATTTTATGACTTCAAATGTGCCTCAGGCCTCATTTTAAAATGGAAAATCCATTCTATAATCACCGATTCAGAGCTTATGAAGAGATGATAAACACTTGCATGTATCAAAACAGCAACGGAGACTCATCTTTTCCACATATCAAAAAGGTTCTGCAGAAAGGAGACGACATTCATTTTGTCTTTGGTCTGTATTAAGTTCATACTTCAAACAAACCCCACCAGAGTTTGTTTTGAAACGAAGTGAGACTGACCTGCTCAGGGGGTCTCAGTCTGCTTATTTGGTGCACATCAGAGCTCTGATGGCTGTATTCTCATTTCCTTTAACAAACTGCACTGACAGAGCAATCGCACAATCACACCAGGGTCTGTTTTAATTTAACCAAACATATTAAGTCTGAAGGCACCCTTAGTTGGATTAGTAAATCCAAGGCCATCCTCCAAAAACATATATGGTGACGGAAAACTGATGACTCTATCATAACCATGATCATGGCCTGTATTCATAAAGCTTCTCAGCATACGAATGCTGATCTAAGATCTGTTCCTGTCAGTAAAATCACCATAAATTAGTATACTTGCTGACAAAGTACTCAATTACAATAAATGTTAAAAGCATGTAAATAAACCAAACATATACCGTACTATGGCATTGTACTTCAAAAAAAAAAAATTATCACCTTTATTTCACATTTGATTTCACATATTTTACATTTTTATTTTACATTTATTTTAATGGTTACTGTTATTGTAATAGTAAAATACAACTATTTAGTAAAAGAAGCAACCTTGTGGCTTACTAATTTATTCATTAGTAAGTTTTATACAATATTATTTTATGAAGCACATTTACTAATAATGCAGTTCATAAATAACAATATATGTAATATAGACACAGGGGAAATACCAACAAATTAAGCTAAAAATAAAATGGGTGCAATGAAGGTGAACTGTAAAGTACTATACCATTTGGGATTCTCAGGAGAAACTTAGACAGCTCAAGATTTCGGTGCATAATACAGCTTTGTTTTTAATTCTTTTTTAAATTTAATTTTTAATTATTTTTAGCATGTATTTCCTGGCTGCAAACAGTGCCCTGCCGTACTGGAACCTCACTAGGGCCTCAATTTATATCAATGTATACTGGTTAACCCGTGCATGCGCTGTGTCGTTACCCCCTAGCCCGCCGCTAAGGGAGGCTAGTAGGCCTGGTTGACAGAGCAAAGAGGTGATGTGGGCACCACAGCATTCTGGGAGGAAAGCTGCTAGCCCGGAGATTCAGATTTTACAGCGGATTTTGCGCTGCAGATTTTCTGAACAAGTTTCTCAGCCCCCGGGCCCCCCGCAGGGCAAAGATTCACTGGCAATAACTGCCAAAGCTCTGGAGCCCAAAACATGGTATTCCGGGCCGCCTTAATGTTCATGTATAAAAGCACGTTTTATGTCTTGATTTAAAAATAGGAACAGATGAGGCACTCCCAATTTTTAGACGTAGGCTGTTCCACAGCCTTGGAGCAGCGACTGTAAAGCATGTTCAGTCTTAAGCTTCAACTTAGACAGCCAAAAGTACCAGGTCTGACGATCTCTAAAGGGGCTAGCCCGTTTAGAGCTTTAAAAACTTAAAAAAAAAAAGAACAGTAAACTGAATACTGTAATGGACTTGGAGCCAGTGCAGTGAGGTTAAAACTGGAGTAGTGGTGTGTATGTAACTAGAGTGTACATGGTGGATTTTACTGTGCCTATAAGCAATTTAGCATTGAATGAATTAAAGGTGAGATAATGATGACTTATTGAGTTCTACGTAAAAAGAATTGCTAATAGTTTAGAAACGTGATGAAGTAATGGCATGAATAACTTTTTCCTGATCTTGAAAGGACAAATATGGCTTAATTTTGTTCAGTTGTGTGAAGTTCATAAAGACTACTTCTGACTAAGGAAATGATTCACTGGTCAAATTTGAGGTCAGGATCAAAAACATCAGCAAGATTCTTAACATGCGTCTTTACATATTCTGAGAGTGCTGCTAGGCGATTTCATAAGCTGGATGTGTATTTTAAAAGCCAAAAAGCATGATATCTGTTTTTTCTTCACTTAGCTGTTAAAATCCTCCAGACACTAATTAAGACTTCAACAAGCATATGTCGCTGGCCTTTAGAGGGAATTAGAGTTGGGTGTCGTCAGTGCAACAATGAATAGAAATGTTATATTTCCGAAAGCATGTAAGGAAGCATTTATGATGGAAAAAGGACATACCCTAATATAGAACCTTGGGGTACTTCAGAGACGATGGTAGCAACAGATGGAAACAGTTGCCAACATTAACTGAGAAGGTCCCATGACACAGATAACACATAATCCAGTCTAAAACCATCCCCTGCAGCCCAACTATGTGTCCAAGGTGATAAACAGCAATGTTGTGATCAACAGATCAGAGAAAAATCCAGATCAGCATTCCTACTCTCAGAAGTTTTAAGAAGGTGCACAGAGGCTTTCATTCCAAAACATATAATAAGGCTTTGACGTAGATTAAAAAAGGTTTGATTTGTTCAAACTTTAAGGAATAAAGTGTGCCTCTACAGTCTTAAAAAAGAAAAGAAAATAGAATGTGCAGCTCTTGGAAAAACCTTTGATTGGTATAGAACCTTTACAGTATGTCAATTTTAAAAAGGTCTGATAATCTCATTCACTACAATGGTTCTTCTAAGAATCATCCAACACCAAGTGAAGCCAAAATATCATTAAGGTAGTTTAAGTTCCCTACATGTTCCCTACATTTGAAATTGAGTTGAGAAAAAAAGAAAAGTGCCTCACCCATGAAATAGGTAACCGTCTTGCACATGACAGCTCCAAAGATGAAGTCCTCCAATAAGTTGGGGATGAGCGTGAAGGGCATGCAGAAAACAGCCATCATGAGGTCACTGACGGCAAGTGACAGCAGGAAGGAGTTGGTGACAGTGCGCATGCGCTTATTGACCATCAGCACCACAATGATCAGCAGGTTGCCAAAGACACTGATGAGGAAGATGAGTGAGTAGAGGAGGATCCGCAGCGAGTCCATTTCTGAAAGTGGAAAAGACAGTGATTTAGTCGATGGACAGGGGTGACCTAGAGGTCCGAACAGGCATGAATTTGAATTCTTATCCAAGATGTTGAGACTCAACCCAAACCCAGACCCAACCTGAACCTGACCGCATACATGGTCTTAGAGAGCAGTTCCCTACATAGCTATAGACTATATCTATAAAAGAAAATGAATGAAAGTGCGTATTTTCTCTTATTGAGCCATATACCTCCAAACAAAAACAAATATAAACTAATTACAAAACAAACCCGAGCCCAACTCTAGCCTGATGTCAAACCTGTGAAAAATTGGCCTGGAACCTGATATCTTATCGGGCCCCATTGGGCTTGGGATAGGTAGCAGATCTTTAAAATGTGACTGGAATATGGTGGAAAATAGAAAACAGAACAAAAAATAGGTTCTTACATTTCAAACTAGCTTGAGAATTTACCACAGAGTAAGTTCAAGTGAAAATTACTACTGATGCAGTGGAAGGCCTGTCACAATTATTACTGTTATGTGAGCTGAAAGCAATCATTTCCCACAGTTTTCACAATCATATATATATACATGAAACAGAAAGTGAATTGGGTGTGTTTTCATCAGCTGGACATATTTATTGAAATATGTCATGAATTTTAGGAAAACAACAAATACCTGCAGAAGGCAGCGTTGAGTAATGTTTGTTTATTTGAGCGACTAAGAATCAACAGCTCAGAAACAAGATAAGTGATCAGCCAATCGTACTGTGTATTCTTACTTTAACACTTTAAAAGACAATCAAATTTTCAATTACACATATTTATATGCCAGTTAATCATTATCTAAAATTTCAGCATTGTGACACGCCTATGCAGTTGAATCACCACCTTCAGACTGATGTGTACAATTTCATGCTCATAATGGACACTAAAGTATGCTATGACCATCCACCAGACAGAGGTCAAGCCTGGCAGATTGCATTACAGTATCAATGGGAATTCTCAATTGAATATCTCTTTATTGCATGATTAGGCTTAATCTGTGTCCAGAAAACCTATTGTCTTCTAATTGAAGAGAGCCAGGAGACAATTGCCCTCTTGATTGCCAAGCTGTTATTACCTAAACTGATGTAATGGCATAATAATCACTTGTAATGATATATTAATCGCTTGTAATGGCAGAACTCACCACTGTCTACATTAGACTTGCTGATATAGCGGCTCATTCCTTTGAAGACTTGAATAATTCTTATCTGATCATTACACACTTGAAGAATTCTAACCCAGTCAGAGTGGCAATCATCAGGACACTGACAAGAACACTGTCCCTTTTGATTACAGTTGAGCAATCACTGAAGTAATCAGGCTCTCAATGTGTCCATAAATTTCAAATCTGGACCATCAAGTTAGTCGCCCTGCAGGCGATTCAAAACATGATTCAAAACGTCTTTGTCCCTCCCATCCACTTCTGCACCACTACCTAACCTTGATTTCCAGGTGATTGCACCACCAAACTGAAGTAAGCTCTTTTGAGTGAAGTGAAGGGACTTTTAAGTGCAAGTCTGTCTCTAGTGAATCATGTAACAGAACAGGCAAGTATGTCCTAAAATCAATAGTGAGCCATCAGTAAAAGTGTTTTGCTGAACTAATCACATTCTTTTGTACTCCAGTTTTAAGCTGTGTTGTGGTTCTAGGCTTGCTTGTGCTGTTCTAGGAAAAAACTTAAAAACATTATACATTTTATATTTATATATATATATATATATATATATATATATATATATACATATATATATATATATATATATATATATATATATACACACATATATACATACAGATGCTCTGAAACGGGAACTGTGGGCTGATGCTGATATCTGATATTTTTTAGATTTTATATATATATATATATATATATATATACATACATACATATACACACTGCTGATACCCATGCCAATAAATAAAATGTAGAAATTGGGACAAAATCAACCTGGATCAGCCTTACGAACAGATATAACATTTATCTGTAGAGGATTACAATGTTAAAATGTTAAAAGCTGAGATATTAAAAAAAGTTGACACTGTGCAAAAGGTTTATTGCATGCTGCTATGGTTAAATCTTAGTGTTTAGCCGAGCAACCTACTGGGTATTTTAGTCAGCGGTGGCGAACCGTGACTATTAGAGCTAGACCTTCAATTTGGGCCATAAATGCCACAGCTCAGTCAAAACATAAGGAAAAAAAACCTCAACAATAATGCTAACAACTGCAAGCATCCCTATAGGATTCTAGTAGTTTGATAGCACCAAGCTAAAAGAGATTCACATTAACACTTTCTGACAAGGCTGAATTTATCTTTACATTCAAATTTTCCATTTTACCTTAAATGATGCAAGGGTTACATTCTGGTGCCTAAATGCCCCTGAATGTAACTGCTGCACCATTTAAGGTGGAATAGAAAAAAAGGGCAGTTCTAGATTAACAGAGGTACTTGAAGCTTCTAAATAACGTTCCAGGTTTTACTTGAAGGTTGTGACAGATATATTAGCACATATTTTACATTCTAGCAGTTTCCCAGGGACGTTTTCAGTAGATGCTGGTACAGAGTTGCTGTCACTGTTTTCCATTTTTTCCCATTGATTAGGCTGCTGCTCGTATTCGTGGTCAGTGACGTATCCATGACTTCCAGAAGGCTTAGAATGATGTTTTTTTTCTTTCAAAATTGGAAATTAAAACATGATTGGTTGATTCTTCCGACACTTCATAATTATGCAGATGGTTAATCTACTGCATTCTCTTCAGCTCTTGAAGTCCTATGCATCAGTAAAGCTCGCTTGGCTATATCTATTATAATACCGGGGAGAAAAACAGTGCCTGATTGGTCAATTTTCTGCAAGGCGTTTAAAGACTTTAACTTTAATTCTTTGCATCCATGTCAGCTAGCTAAACTAAACACAGCAGTGTAACTGAACACAATATGTGTAGCTGTACTGCTGCTAGGGATGTGCATTCTGACTAAATTTGGAAATTAGTTGTGACGGATGTCTGTTAACCCCAGAGAAGAAATGAACATGAAAAACCGACCAGCAAAAATTACTGTAGGGCTAGAGCTGGAGATTTAGTCTTTTAGGTGACAGCACTGGTGATGAGAAGCTAAAAAAATTGGTACAAAAATTTAGCAAAAATCAGAAAAGAACATTTAAAAACAGGTTTTACGATTGAAAAAGCAGAGGAGCATCGGTGGTGTTTGTGTTGGATGAGCAAAGGAGGCTGAACTTCAGCCTCCATGTGAGCTAAAGCTACAGCTAACTGCTACAACACTGGATGCTGGTGAGGATTCAGTGTCTTACACTTTTTAGCTAGAGCAGTTAGCCTGGTTAGCCTAGTTAGCAATAAAGCCACGCTATGTCTGCTTTTTCTGCCACGTCCATAGCAACATGTCCCTGGCAACACATTTATGCGCTCGTGTTTCAGAGTGGCACAGTGTGATATACTCACAAATACAAGCAAAACTGTAACACTCAACTGTTAGTCTGTATGTTTTCTCCATTTTCTTGTGATGAACCAGAACGAGCACCCGAACAATGATTTCAGTATCTGAATACTGGCACCTCGAATGGTTAACCAAGTGTCTGAGTACCCGTGCACATCCTTAACTACTAAACAGGCTTTTTTATGGATGATCAGTCATAAGCACATTGCGCAAACATGGAAACTTCTGCACATGTGAGTTTAAGAATAATGCATCAAATTTTCACTGCATCAATTATTTCTGTTAATATGTCATTAAATATCGGCCAAATCTAATTATCTGTTAATTATCAATTATTTTATCTTACAGCAAATATCTGCTGATATGATTCTGTTACCATTGTGCATCCCTAGTATACATCCATTACGTTTTTGCGGATGTACGCATAATGCAAAAGATCACAAGTCGTTGACTTTAAAGAAGCATCCAATAAAAGTTGTTTTTTGGGGAACCATAAGTGATTCTTCTATGGCATTAATCCAGTTACTGCTAAGAACGCTTTTTGGCACCTTGTATGATCCTTCTATAGCAGTGGTTCTCAATCCCAGTCCACTGCCCAGCACATTTTAGCCCCCTGTTCCCAACACATCTGGTGTAACTAATTATTAATTAATTAACAAGCCCTTCCTGATGTGAACTGTTTGTGTTAGAGCAGGAAAACACTACAACATGCAATGCAGAAGAATTGAGAACCACTATTTGGTGCTATATAGAACCATTTTCATGCAATGCAGGAGAACTGAGAACCACTATTTGACGGCTTTACTCCACAGAACCTTTTCAATACATTTACTTTTAAGAGTGTTAACATTTTTATCATAACTCTAAACCCTCTCAGCGTCAATCCTATAACAGATCAGTCAACCAGGAAACATCCTCTGTGTATGTGCCATTGAGGACTTTCCCTGCACACTTAAAAAAGATGGCTCTTCAAGGGTTCTTTAGTAAAGGTAGTGGTTCTATTTAGAACCATGAGTTCTGTATAGAACAATTTCATGCCAAAATGGTTCTTTGCATAGTGAAATTGTTCTTCAGATTGATGGAGAATGTGCTGTTTATGGTTCTAAATAGCACCAAAAAGGGTTCTTCTATTGTTGTGATGTCAACAATAGAAGAATCCTTTTTGGTGTTGTATGGAACCATTTTCAAAAATTTAATTCTCCATCAATCTGAAGAACGATTTCACCATGCAAAGAACCACATAAGCATGAAATGGTTCTATATAGAACAACCATTGCTTTTACTAAAGAGCCCTTGAAGAACCATGTTTTTTAGGTGTGTGGTTTCATCACAGGGTTAAAAAAAGCCTGTTACTGCACAGTCAGCGTCAGTTCCGTCACAGTCGGTTCTTTCACACGGAGCAATAAAGCTCTCAGTAGAGAACTGCCTAATAGTTCTAATCCTTGTCAGAATCGATATGGCCATCGGATCAAATCAAAGGGCATCTGCCTGATGACAACCACAGTGGACAGACTAGAGAGAAA